TTAAGACCTCACAGGGGACCTCACGATCAAATACAGGTCCGCACTGAAATACTTGTCGGAAGGATACTTTATAAAACAAGGTAAACATTTTTTTTAATTTTTTTTTTATTTTTACACACATATTTTGGTTTATCTTCCTTCTACAATCATTATCTGAAAATTAATGACTCAACTTCAAAGTCACCCTGTATAGCTGATAGATGCAAAAACTTTCATGTCTGAGACTATACCAGTGGTGATGTTGGCAAATTATAGCCCCTACAGAAGAAAAAAGAGAATTTAAATCTATACCATGCCCCCCATGACATGTTTTTCCAAAACCTCACAGAACACTGTGAACGTACTTTGTCATTAACTACGAACCAGGTGTACACCTGGCGAATGCTGTGTATTCGCAGCCCACCAAATATATAATCTCTTTTGAAGTTTATTGAGGTAAACAGATGAGTAGCACGTAACTTTTTTTTGTGACATCTGTACTGTTGGTAATAACAAATCTGGTAAAGGGCCAAATTAAGGACTGGTGTTTGGTATCACCAATGAAAATTTGTTTACACACAGAATTTTGGCAATCAAATGTATACTGCTAGATTGGTAATTCACACATATGTACAGAGCAGTATTATCTGAAGGGGCGTGGTTAGATGACTATGTTTCTGTTTAGTGTTTGCTGACCAAATATGACAGTGATATTATGCTAATAATTTTTTTTTTGTTTCACAGTGTCAACATCCTTCGAGGAGACAGTTGGAGTAAAGATCGTCATTTATTTTATGGATACCAAATTAATTGTCAATGACATAAGGAGTTTGTTTCCTAGTTTGAAGAAACAATTAGTGTTTTATGTGTTTTTTTTTTGTTGAGGACAATTTTGTTTGCCTTTACCCATTAACAGTGTGTGCAAAACTATTTTTGATTCACATATCAGAGTGATTATATTTGTATTCCAGTTAGTCCTCTAACTACAGATGTATTTTTTGTTATTTAAGTATTTGTTTTCGCAGTAAATATACGTTACATGATCAATTAACAAGAGATAGTGCTTGCATGATATTGGACTGATCAGGTTCATAACATAGAGAAAAATCCAGATGAGTAGAATACTTCTATGTATGTACAATTTATTGTAATGGAGACTTTGTTCTATTATTGCTGGGACTGTTCAATAAATAATTTTTTAATTATACATTTTTTTATTATCCTGAAATTCATTACTAGCCAAACTGATGAAAGAAATACTTCCTTTATTGAGGATGTGTTATGCATCTATGATCATCGAACTGCCTCAATATCGGGACGGTCATCAGTCAGATTTCGTAATGTAAACAAATGAAATCGCCGACACATTCCTGACATTCCTGATATGCGTTGTCGGCATACTTCCAATATTTTTAGTTCCACCAGATTTCCAGCCAAGAAAAGTGGCGCTGCCGTCGCAGTTATAGTCCAAGAAATATCTTCACATCCGCTCAGGAAAATATTCGGATTCGGACTTTTTGCATGTTATTCGAAAAAGCCTCCTAATAACAAATCTACATGTTGTCAGGCTCCAAATTGCGTCTCTAATTGTTTGTACAACTTTTTCAAATAAATTCCAAAAATTAATGTTTTCGCTTCATCAAAGGTAGTATTCGTTTTTTTTTTGATACTCCGAAACAAAACGATGTTTGACAATGTTTGTTAAAAGCTGATTTTGTACGAGATGGGAAAGTACAAAAAATTGATTTTGCGATACCGAAAAACGATCTGAAAAACGAAAATGTTAATGTCGCCATGCTTCATAAATAACCATTAACACAATTGCGATATCTTTTAGGAGATACTGTTATTAAAAATCTTTGTATTTAATTGATATGCAAGCGGACGCTCAATGCATATTCAGCGTGCACGAGAGATATTTTATCTCTCTCTCGCGTTCACATCGACATAGACTATACTCTCAGCGCGCATTCAATTCATAATTACTATGCAAATATTTACAATAACTGTACTCCCTAAAATGCTCTGGGGGTTTTATTATTGGTTGGTTGAAGCGTGTGTGAGATTTGGCAACATCAAAATATTAATTTTTCATATTGTTTTTAGGGTAGCAAATGACATATTTTGAGTTTTTACCTTGCTTATACCTGTATTAATCAAGTCTAGAGAAAAGTTCTAAAGCTCATTTTTTATTCAGAATGTCCTAAAAACCGCAAAATACGATAAACAAAGCGAACAAATCAATTTTTGGAATCGGTTTAATAACAATTTTTGGAGCAATTTTGGGCCTAGTCACATGCAGATTCTTTAACAGAGGTCCTTTAATCAGATTATGCAAAAATCGGAATCGGAAGATTTTTCCGAGCAGATGTTTCGATATTATCTGGACTATTATCCGAGTTCTGTGACTTGATTACCAGTGCATTGGCGCAAGCGAGTGGGGAGGGGCCACATGTCAATGTCAAGGCTGGTCCGCCAGTCCACGCAACACAAAAGCCTCAAAACACTCTTTCATCTGCTACTTTGACGTTAAACATATGATTTTGTTAGTGTGTTTAATGTTGATATTGTAGCCATTGCTACATTGGCAATCCTGGCCGCACATGCACTTTAAATGCTCATTTTCTTAAGTTAAGTTACGTTAAGTCTTGCATGAACCCACCTTAAGAGGACCAAAAAAGCTAACATCCAACGGTTGTACCCTATGGATACAATGTGGGGGAAAACAAAAAAGAATTATGCCATTTTCTTTGACCTATACAAGTGCTTCTAAGCTTTTATGGCTAGTGTGTCCATCCAATAACAGCAAGACTTTATTTTGCTTTGATGGTTTGGCATATTTCGCAAAGTGCTTCAACCATTTAAGAATTATGTCCATGTAACCATTTTCCTGGCTAAATGCCACAGATCCAACAGGTGCTCCATCATCTATTCAGCCTTCATATTTTTTCTTGGAAATATGAGAGCAGGAGGGAGATATGTCCCTAAAAAAATAGATAACGATTTTTTATACCTAGGTACCTACTTTAAAATCATAAATTTACCTGCTTCGTTCATACAGCAACCGGCCGTTAGTCGCTGACCTCGTTCAGCACTACTTAAAACCCCTACTTGTTTTGTGCCTTTGGTGGCCAAAACTTTTGTATTCTTCGAAGGAACGGTGTGATACCTGTTTCATCCAGATTCCAATAATCATTCGGCTGGAATTTATGTTGATCCAACACTCCAGAAAGCATTTGAAAGTATTTGTCAATTTGCACTTTATTAAAAGATCTAGCTCGAGCCGCTGAAGTACTCTCAGGTGATCGTAAGGATATCGTAGGATTACGTTGCCTGAAACCATTCAGCCAGGTCCACCCAGCCATTTTAGTTTGAGTAGAAAATCGATGAGGGACTTGTTTTGCTTCCGTAATTTGAAATGCCAGTTTTCGGACGTCATTCGTTGTTAGTCCAAAAAACATGGATTCCATTTTTTTGATATGTTGGATCAGTTCATTTTCTAGATTTTCATTGAATGTGCTTTTGTGACATCCTATGTAACCTTTTTTCCAGCCTTCCTCCTTACTTGCCCTACCACTTAAAGTCCCAAAAGGGACATTAAACGATTTTGACGCTAGAAGCCACCCCTTACGTTTCGTATTTACAGCTACGATGGCTTCCTTCATATTATTTTCAACCCATGACTCTCTGTTTGACTTTCTTTTGTAGCGATTCATGTTTCAAATAAATAATTGAGTTGCTGAGGTGGCATACCATGCCATCTTATAAAAGTTGTTGTATGCCATCTCATATAATTGACGGTTATTTTTAAATAATACAATTTTTACTCAAACCCATTTTAAACTAGATATTTGATAACCTAGATATAATATTCAATAAATTCTCTATCTGAAAGTTATAATAACATACCTTTAAGTTACTCCCGTGGCCCACCAAACTCTCTGCGAGCGACACGTAAAAATATTTTGGGTAAACAAAAATGTGACTAACGTACCTTTCGACCACTCAACGGCAACTGACCTGCTTCCGATTAACGCAATAGTTTGATTGAGCCGGTGGCTTCAAGGGGGCGCAAGAAAAGGCACGTAATTTTAAATGTATGTAAATTAAACAGCGGCTATGCAAACTCAGAAAGTATGCCATCTCAGGCACACTTCCCCTATGTACTGCCCCCGGCCATCAAAAGAATATTGTTTGAATGCTTATTAGAGAATAGAAAATGAAGGGCCGGAGGTCGCAAGTCCTGTAAATTTCCAATGTCGTAAACACAACCATGCTAAATATACAAATTTTTAGGGCAAACTGGAAGGCCCACTGGCGATCCTGCGGGCCGATATGCATTTAGGTAATTTAAGAAGATGAATCCGAATAAGACCACAAAAAAATATTCTAGGCTCTAGCATAAAATTGACATTGAATTCGATTTACCCAGAAAGTAGGATGTCGTCCGGAAATTATCTAATTAAGATGCTTATGGATTTTTTTAACACAGTTCATCCGGATTTGAAGGATAAAATGTTCATTTTCGTTTCTCATTGTTACAATCGATCGCGGCTTTTGTACACATACATTCCTGTAATTTGGGACACTGCTTAGGTATGTGAATATGATGGCCGCCATAAGCACGCCAGTTGTCGTATAGCCGAATTTTGAGACCCAATGGTCTTTTGGGATGCCTCTTTACTAAGGCTTTCCCACTTTTCAAAATATTCAATCCTATCACTTATGTATTGCTTAACAAATAATTCAAGATACGACAGATTATATGGACAAGCTGTACTTCATTTATATATATATATATATGTTCAAAATGTTTTAAGCATTACGATTCTTACGAAGCAGCTGTGACTTCACGAGAACCTACTCGACAGAATCGGAATGGGTCAGAGGAATTCAACTCTCTAGAACCGGAACAAGGTTTTAATTTCCTTGCTACAACTCCTGCGCTATAACAATTGAACGAGGAACAGCCATAGGCATTTATGCATTGCGCATACAGATAGCGCATCACATGTTTCCCTGCCCAACTCAGCCCAACTGACACCACAAACTGACTGACACCCTGCCGCGGTTTCGCGGGCTTTTTGCCAACGTAAACATAACCTTAAATGTCACACCACAGTCACACCGTAAAGTGCCGTAAAAACATTAGAAAGCTAGATTTTTAGTGTGCTTATTTGATTTTCGGGCGGAAGTGAACATTCGCGATATTCCAGTGTCGAAAAGTCCGCGGATCCATTTCTGTTGTTTCGCGATTACACCGTGATGGAGTGTGCATAGTTTGTAATTAAAGACCTCAGTTTTTAGTGTGAAAACATTAAAAGTGGAGCAAGCTTTGAAACATGTAAGTAGATCCAATGATAATAATAAATTCACGAATGCTCTAACAACCGCATACATTATCTAGTGTACCTACATATCTACAGTCTGACATTAATTTTGTTTCAGATCTCTTGATTAAAATCAAACACCGATCATGTCTTCTATGCTCTCAGCTGAATTGGCAGCCACATGCAGTGCTCTGGGATACTTCGACTCAAAAGCTAAAAAGTACTTTGCAGATTCAAATACATTGGAAGCTGTCAAAGACCTCATTCGTTACCTGAGAAGGGATGACTCTAGCCATGCTATTCGCAGAGAGCTAGGTGAGAGCATGGTGTTGCAGACTGACTTGCTACCATTGTTGAAATGCTACTGGGAGGAGACTGATCTATTTGATGTGCTGTTGAGGTATGTGTGCACATTTTGGATAATAAAGCATTTCATCAGTTATGATGGTATAAGCAAATAGTAACATCATTACTGTGATAGGATTTTTCATACTTTATGGTTCTAAACTTGGACTAATAAATATAAATAAATGGGCAGAGCATAAAACAAATGATCTGAACAAACAGCACTGTAACCATGAAGGAAAAATGCTCCTATTTTTTTTAATGGCTGAGAAAGATAATCATCTCATGTCTGTCTTTCCAACTTGCAAATCATTCTCAAAACTATCTGACCATATATTTTTAGACTTTGCGGAGTTATATTTTCCTTAGCGTGTATCACAATAAGACCTCCTATGAACATTGTTACACTAACTTCCTAGCACTGCCACATCACAGGAAGATAGCGCTTTGTGACTCTAAACTTAAAGTTGTATTTACAGGGTGATCTGCATTTTCTCTGAAACCTATTTTGGTGAAATCATTTTTTCTTGGTACAAACTTACAAACTTCTTCAAAAGCGATTTTTGATATCATTTTCATTTCATTTTTGACACATATGAGATTCATCGTCTATTTTATGGAGGCTGGTGGAATGTGACATCATTTCAGTGGTTCAAATGAGAACCTAATATTTTCCGAAGATGTACAGTCCATGAATGAATGAGAGTAACCAGAAGGATCACTGAAGTAAAACATTGTTTTAATCTAAGGCCGGAAAAGTCATTATTGCAACGCTCCTGGATTTATCTCTGCCCCAAATTGTACAACGAAATGCCTGCTGATTATAAGTTAATACGAAACATTGCTTTATTCAAGACAAAGTCTCAGTCTGGGTGAAAGGTATATCCAGGAGCATAATACATGATTATGTAGAAGGCAAAACACTATATATGTCACTCTCACAACCCAAATGAAGTCGCCGTTTTTAGAATAATTGCTCCATTCTATTAATTTATTATTTTATCATATTTTATTGTACGTTATTATATTTTATTATGTTTTATTGTAGTCACTTATATGCTTATACCGTATCTCATGTATGATGGGCATTTAATTTTATTCTATTCTATGCTTGATATATCCTTGTCTTTATTGCTCACAACACAAATGCAACTACCAGTTTTGTAATGTCATTTTAGTTTTTATTGTCCTTTATCTTAGATGTACTTTTTTTTAGTTTAGCCTTTTGATTTATGTTATTTATTATTGAATTTAGTTAAAGTGCCACAATGTCAGTTCAAGGTTTTCGCATTTCTACCAGTGATCGTGTAACACCAAATTATGTCAGTGCGTTCGTAAGAAGTGCATAGTGCATTAGCAAGTACTTGATAGACTTTATTTATATCTGCGGATAGACAACTGACAATAATGGGATGGCCACACACAAGATTTTTCTTTCGTGGCATTACTTTTATTTGTCATTGATACTCCTTTGTGGCAACAGTCTTTGAAAATTTATATTTGCATAATTGAATTTGACAAATAAATTATTATTATTATTATTATCTAAAGAAATCCTTGCCAAATGCATTGACATCTTGGAGTCTCACACTTTAGTGTTTTCTTTTAAAGTATTATTTTTTATGCAAAAAGATATTGAGCTGTTACCTTGAATATTGAGGTACAAGTTATGTAACACCTGAAACTATGTGTGGTTTTCATGTTGCTACTAAATTGAACCACATATGTTTTAATTACTGTTCATTGTATGATGTGGCGGCCAAAACGTCATAAAGTAAACATTGATAAGCATATTTTATTTTAGGCCAAAGCCAAAGTATCTTCGTTTCTATATTACCTTTTTTTCAGTTTAAGTACATCATTTTTTGGAATCTTTTCGATAGTTTGCGTCATATTTTTTCATACTGCTCATCTTTGGAAATTTTTCTTTGGCCTACCTAAAACCCAATCAACTAATAACCATTCCTGTAATTTTTTTACCAAAGTAATAAAAAGCAGTGCTGCTCATTAGAATAGCTATTTGTGTACAAAGAGTGCAAGCTGCTTCTTTGACACTTGAGTAAGTGATGATTTTTTCTGAAATTTACAGCAGTAAATTGAGATTTATTATATTTTCTGTTGTTCTGTCTGTCCATAACTGTTGAGTAGCCAGTCTTTTCAACGCATTCATTCTCACCCTAGAGCGGTAACACTATAATTTGAGATTGATCATTTATAGACACATTAACTATGTCAGGTGCATCGGGCCGCGTCATATAGAAGATAGAAGATGCTATGTACTTCATTACATTATTCGTTCCCCATTCATTTCGAAATTTTCCAGTTTACCAAGTAGGCTGGGACTTCAAAGCTAACAGAATAATGGGATAAACAAATACAATCGGCAACAATAATTTCAGTCATAAATTAGAATCTCTATTTACTAGCAGTAAACAATAATTATAAGTAATATTAAAAAAAGAGCATCAAGTAGGGTGACTATGCACTTCACAAGCAGTTCATCAATTCAAAAAGTAAGCTACGCACAAAATAATTAAATGGATCAAGTCAATCAAAAAGGCCTAAACAACTAGTCTTGTCTTTGGCATAGTAGTAACTTTGCATGGAAATCTTATCAAAATAATCTGAGCCGTAGTTTCCAAGTGACTGATGGGCCAAGGATTACCAGACAGACAGACCAAAGGAAAGGAGTGACATGGTTTTCATGATGTACAATATATGATCTCTCATTTTAGAAATTTTTCGCGATCACAGTACTTCCACGTCAGTGGCGTGGTAAGTAAAAGGGCTCAATAGTAGTGTCATTTATGTGCTCAAAACGCCGAAAAAGCTCTACATGAATGCATAGATTCATTACTTGCCTGTTTTTTTCATTATCATTGTTTGTCTAGGGATGTAGGAAATAGCGGCGATTTCCTAGGTTAGTAGTAAAAAGTGTTTCCCACGTCTGCTTTGGGTGTTTTTCATTCTCTTTAGGTTTATGGGTGAATATCAGGTATTTGGGTTTTTAGTGGTACCTAAGAAAAATTACTCATTTCAGTTTCATATTCATTACCTCTTAAGATTATACTATTTGTGATGCATCTTTGACAGGACCAGATAGTTTTTTGATTTTTAAAGATTTTACAGCTACCAGGGGAAAATGTGTAGTCAGGGGAGTGACACTATACACAGGGTAGTGACAAACTGAGACAGGAGAGTGACAACTTCTCATGTGACACTTTTTAAAAGAATATAAATACCAATAGGTAAATAAGTTCAATAGTTTTTTTTTGAAAATAACAAAATCCTACATGTTCTATTAGTCTCTTAAAAAATAACATTTGGATCAACTGAGTGAACCCTGCTCACACAAGAACTAATATAAATATAAACCACTATAGCTGTTTATATCTTGCAACTTAATATAGATAGCAATGTAGGTACCTGAGTAATAATAATAATAATAATAATAATAATAAAAATAAAATTATAAAAAAATTGACATAATACTTATGGTCAGTCTTTGAATCGCAATCAGTGCTTATAAATATAAAATGGTAGCTAGCATAAAAATAAAATTAACATAGTTATAACCCGATTTTTTATGAATTCGAGTAGATACTCATTTTTCGAATACAGGTATAGGAGTTCTGAATTTATAAAATAATCTATCTCCTCTCATTACTATATTTGGCACCGGCAGTCTTTCTAATACTTTTCCAACTTTATGTCGGAAATGTCATGCGATAGAAACATAAGTAATTTAGCATTGCTTGAAAACTCATAAAGCCTATAATTTTCGTTCTTCTTAAAGAGAGCAAAATCAACTCCATATTTGCATGAATTACACACAAGCATGTTTCTCTTCTATGAACGTTTGGATATGCAATCCAAAAAGGTGTCAAACGTGAAAATGACGTATAACTTATCGGCACTCCTTTGGTTTTAACTAACCGTGCATGTAAATGCTTCATTGAGGCTAGTAAAACCCTCTTTTGTTTTTTACTTTGTTTTTCGTAATGTAGTCATTTTTTCCTGGGCATAAGCGACTGTTGCAGTCGCCTTCAAAAAAATTTTAATTACGTTCTTTATCTTCTGTCTAGTTTCATTCATTCTTGTTCTCCTTGTCACGTCTATCAAACCTCTCCCACAGTGGGTTATCGTTTCACAGGCTTCATATCAATTTGGCTTAAAACATTGTACTTTCTAACAATTCTTGATTGGATCATTTTTAATTCGCTGGTCGCGTGGTCTTTCTGCTTGGCGTTTTTTCTCCAATCTTTCCTCTCGGGTTTGCTTTTTTATAATTTTGCCATTTTAGCGAGTTTTTGGTACCTGAAATTAATGAAATAGTGTCTATACCACATTCAACTTCAAGAGCAGGAAGCAGGCCGCTCAGAGGCGTAAACTGGGCCAGGCAACTTCTTAGGTGCAGCCCGCTGATTGATGTAACAGATTGGTATGAACACTGACACTGAGCGTTTGAGCACTGAATACGGCCCTAGGCGTCTGGCCGTGTCTGACCCGGCCCCTCATGCCTGACCTATTTCAGATCTACTGCCTCTTGAAGTTGAATTTGGTATAGTAGCTACACATCTTATACAAAAAGGTGCCTTTGTATTTCCCCTGGGCAGTGTGTTTTTTCCCTGACATAAAAAATGCCAGGGGAGTGACGCCAGGGAAGTGACAAAAACGTGGGTAAGCCCCAAAAAAGCAAGATATGTTGATTACTATATTATTTTAACGTGATTCATGGCTTTTGTATTCAAAGATCTTAATATTTTATAAAGTCGCAAAAATTTAACTTTTGAATTCACAAAGATATGCTTACCAGGGGAAATGATTCACTCACTGGCAAAAGGGTATCGGACGACTGTTAGTGGGCTACTGACGCGTCCCTGGTCTTCGTTTTCCAAATTACGATAGTTTCGCACTATCCCTTCTTCATTTGCTACTTGCTGCTCAAGGTCAAGTCGCATAGTTGCCATATTTTGATGAATATATGCAATTTGAATTGCGCCAGGTGAGGGTGACACTGTTCTCAGGAACCACTGATAAACGGGATTTTTTACG